TATGTCAAAAAGCACCGTGTTGTGATCACAGCCAAGTAATGGATTATCAATGAATATATAACCGTAAGAGATCCCTATCGTGATTGGCTTTCTAACATGCTGGGTTTAGCCATTGAGGTGAAGACATGAGCTGCTTTACAGAATTCCCGCAGTGTTTTTAAATGTTAGCAGTATCCAGTTAACATGTGTTAAGTTAAAATCACCACACATAATTTTGGATTTGTATGTGGTGCTGGAAGCAGCATTGATCTTATCGATTAGCTGTTGCGTTTTACATTGTGTGATTCGGGGCGGCCGATAGATACAACCCACAAGAAGCTCAGTAGATGGGATCACTAGTCATAGTGTATCTTCTAAGTCATGTCGCACAGGTTGATCTTCGTGAATTGCAGTCAGGTTATTTCGAAGATATATGGCACAACCAGCACGCCGTTTGTGTGCGCGATCCTTGCGGAAAACTGTTTAGCCTAAGATGTTAAGCTGAGAATCACTAATTTCTGACGTGCACCACGTTTCAGTGATAAAAGCAATATCCGGGGATCTCATAAACATAAGTATTGAAAGTAGATCTAATGTAGGTAAAAGAGAAAGCAGATTAATAACGACAGATTTCAAAGACATTATTAAATTGGAATGAAAGTAGTGGGCAAGGTTTGTTTCTTCCTCATTGTGTCTAAGAACTGTGTTGTGAAGTAGATGAGACATACTGAGCTTTACATCGTACTGGATTGAATGAAGTACATACTTCAGTTGTTTGATTATTCTCTGATTCATAACCACACGTGATAGGGGCTGGATTGGTTGGGGAGGATGTGGCCGTGTGCGATAGTCTAAACCAGGACTTACGTCCGTAGTATACAGGGGTGGGGGATGCTGAGGTCTACAAAATCTTTTTTTCCGGATTGTATTGTTGCCATTTGAGTACTACAGGGGTGGTGGTGGGTGAATTTTGATTTGAGGTAGCCAAAGGTGGCACCCTGTTACCTGTGAGTTCGTGTGGCCTACCACTATTTTGCTTGCTATTTCGGTGTCGCACACATAAGGGCTTTGCTAGCTTGAGATTGCGGGATTCGGAATCATAGTTAGAGGCATTGTGAGTAAGTACTGAACCGGCTCTCTGCGACTTATCCCAACGACAGTGTCGGTGTTGCGTGTGGAAGCTTGAAGATGTACACTTTTTCTCAGTTGGCCTAGCTGCTTATCTCTACGTTTTTGTAGTGGTCGCTTCAGATCTACTAAGTTCAAAGGCAACGAAATTAATTCCACAACTGCAATTATCAGGCTTTAAATTTTTTTATCACGATGAACTTTGCACCATGTATGCATCACACATAGGAAGAACTGAAACCTAAATACCTTATATGAATCATGTTTCCTAATGTTTTGGACCGCCGCATTTATTGCGTTTAGCTCGTCATTGATAAGATTTTGATCGAAGTATTTCTGATGCCTATTAGGGTTTACCGCGTGTAAAAGTGAGAATAAATTACTAATGTTATTATTGTGAGGACAACAATATATCAACCTACCAAAGAAGGAAAGCTAGCAGGCCTGGACTTTCAAGAAAGCTGGAACCGGCTGCAATAAATCTGAAAAACGAAGCCTAAGCTGTTACTAATCTTGTAGAGCAGCAAATTACTAAGGAATTTACCGCGAATCCTAGCTAAACGGAGCCATTAAACAATGTGAGACTGATGTGTCATGCCAGCGGGCGCCATCAAGCGCCGAGCGGAACTAGTGCCACCTCAGAGTGCCGAGGACTTGGGGATTAGGAGAGGGTAAGTTCAGATTGCAGGCGAGCGAGGAAACATAGGCAATCACATACTTCGATGGGGTGATTGCGGCCCTCAGTAGATCTACGTAAAACGTAGCTACTTAGTGTGTGAGGTGAGTAGGACGAAGTGGTGATCTTTAAAGATGCTTTCGTGTGTCCTTACAAGCAGAGGCAGTAATACAGTCAGTACCGTAGGCAAAGTACTTTATATCCCTTTAGTCCCATTGAATCTCATCAGTTGCGTATCTCCATACTGAACCCCCTTGGACTAACACCCACGACCATTCTACGTTCTTCTGCGGCCCACAAAAGGTGTTGCGAGTAACGACCCATGGGTTTGCAACTAATTTGTTGGCTCTGACAGTACACTCGTCATTTACCGTTGTCATGCATGTAACTAGCGTGTAGGAGACATGGTTAGCAACCAGAGATAAGTTCCTAATGGAAACTTTAAACCGGCCCGGGGTGTTATCAGCTGCCCGGGACCGAGTCCCGAAGGTTTCAAGAGATTTTCACGTGAATGACTGACCGGCGGTTCAATACATTCCTAGATGCTCTTGGTTGCCCAACTGTGCTGAAGCCAGTGGAGCATTGAATGTATGCGTTTGTCACTGCGGGTTTGTACAAAGTGTCAGTATCCGAGTGGACTACTAAGGCAACTGGTGTGTATTAGTGTGACGGCAAGAAACCATTCGGTATACACCTACCTTATTGGCAAAACTATCCGATCTGGTCGTAGTGTACTCTTACAAGCGCTGTTGACATCCAGCTGCTATTCCCATTGTCAGCATCTCTAGCATCTGCACTCCCTTTGGGTTGAATTTTTTGCCATGTCTTTTACCATGGCCTATTGCGTTATTCTTCTTTTTTGTTATGATGCTTTTTTATGTGGTACATATTGTTTCCGCATCCTGTGTTCACTGAGCAAATCGCTTGGAACCAACGACCAGCACTGAGCTTAGACCTCTGGGTCGGTATCCTTGCGTTTTGAGCTAGTGGTCAATTGCCCTCATGCAGCGCCACAACACCACATAGTATATGGTCTATGAGGTTCCAATGCGGATTTATGTGTGTAAAATGATCTCGGGCCTGTCCTGATCCTTTTCACATGTGCGACCGATAACTGACGAGCTTGTACACGGCTGCATATATCTCGGGGGGAGGGCGCAACGTTCATACAAATTTTGCACGCTAAATCGGAACCCTACTACGAACATCTTGGTTAGCAACTCGATACTAATCAAACACTTTATTGCACCTTGCTCACTCTGTTATTTCATAGTGAATATTAGTGTAGCTAGCTAAATCTACCAAGGAACGGAAACGACAGGGGTCGGTGGAGCTCATCTCGCATAGGGCTAGCAAGCTGTGCCATAAACCGAATTTTATGACCTCGTTTACTGCGTCTTTACTAACCTTTTTTGTTCTTATTCCAAGCAATGTGGTTTCTGTAGCACATGCGAAAGTAACTTATAACTTAACTTGATAGCCTGTTCGGCATTATGGCGCCCTATTTGGTAATTACTTAAACCTATCCACTTTTGGGATGTGGAGGTGTATGTTGGGATATTCTCTGGACAAAATGGCTTTTGTCACTTCTTGAGAAGTGTTGCTGTTTGAGATCGCCTACTCTGTTGACGTAGCAGCGGTATTTTAAGCGCTCATCACTCTGGAGAATGCATCTGCTTGCACTGCAACATCTTGTGCGCAATTAAATGCCCCTTCCAAAGGAAACCTTTAGTGTTCCCCCATCTCTTCTACTACAGCGTAAACGATGACATTTATTTTAATGTACGAATTCACGTACCGTTGGATATCCTGTGGTCAGAGCAGTTTTTGCGCATAGACGAAGTAGTAACCACAGAGTTTAGCACCGCTGAATGAGAAGGCTTTCTGCAAAAGGATAAATAAACAAATAAATGGTTTATTCTCGACACTATAATCAAGCCTGCATAAGTATGGTCATGGTACTGCAAACATTAAGAACAGTCGAAGGTAACCAATAGTACAAGTTCATCAGTAGCATATGGGTTTATGTGATAAGCGTATATGAATACATGAAGGTATGGATGTGTGTGGCCGTGTCGCTTAAATTTATAACTGTGATGCCACATTTGTGAGTCTTTTCGGTCGAGTCGTCAATGTGAGAAGGGGTAAAAAGAAACCTTCGTATCGGATGACTAACATCCACAGATTGGGCAAGATCATCCGGATAGGTAAAAAGCAGTGAGTTTAGTTATTGGCATGTCAGATTTGCCACGTCGCAGTGTTAAACAAACATCGGTGGCTTTTGATAGGGATGATTACCAGACAGAAATCCACCGCGTTCTTGAACACTGGAGCCATACTATACACTAGAATGCTATTAACCGGAGCCACCAAGCTGGCACCACGTGGAGACTGTTTGGCAAGTATGATGAGTTTATCATCTACTATGATTTTAAACGGCATTTCGCCTGTGTTGTGAAGTGATGTTTTTGGAAGAAACGCGGTGTGCATAAGCGAAAGCCAGATCCGTTGGAAAAATACTCTGTATAGACAACGTTCACCTGTATACATACCGTCACGAGAGGGGATCGTGTATCTAGATAGAGTTTAAGAAATAATCCATTTGATTATCTTAGAGGAACGATCCAGAATACTTACTCACCTTCGTCCAGTCGACAATGATGCTGCACGGACCAAACATATTACATGAAAGAGGTGTACAACGCGAAGTGAACCCTTGAGAGATTTGCTGTTAGCGTCACTAACCATAATGCCCTGTGCTTCATCCAAGTTGGTAACGTTTGTATCTATATTACTTATAAGTAAACGGATTTTCGAAGAATTATTCGGTCCATCCATTGGATCATACTTGTTATTTCCCTGGACTCTTGGAGCCCAGCTGACGAACTACGTCGCATTGACCTGTTAATTAGTATAAATTTTCATGATTGATAGGATCACATTCAGAGCAGGCCTAGAATACTTACAAAAGCTGCGACAATGATCGTTGACCAATGTCCTGACAAACGTCAAGTAGTAAGATCATGTACCATCCAAACCACCATTGTAAAAATAACAATAATTTCAGATATAAGAGCGTTACTTCGGCTTATTGGTTCGAGAGTACAGCCGGTTAAGTCAGGTGTTTTACATGTTCAGGGTGCTATGATTTGTTACCAGTGAATTCAAAAGCGGTCTACCTTCTTCTTAAGGGCAATCCAATCCTCTCCACCCTCAGCTTGCTTGGAACGAACCATTGGTCAACACGCTGTTGGATTTTGGAGCCAACGTGAACCAGGTGACCGACGAGGGTGTGTGTGCTCTGTCGCTGTGCCTGTTGTACTACTGCCGAGTGCTGGAACAGCTGAATGCAGAAGGCGATGTGAAGAAACCCCACGTGTTGTCCTATACGACGCCGAATGAAAGCGAGCGATCCGGTACAACATTATCCGAACTGTTGGAAGCTCCTTGCACCCGAAAGTTTGTGTATCGAGCAGAGGTGACGATGTTTCTGCCTACTTCTACCCAAATTAACGGAGTGGAGCAGGAAGAAAAAGCGAGGTTGGCGCAGCTGCGAAGGATTTACACCTCACAACCGCAAACTGGTACGTTCAACCAATCCCTGTGATACTAGTCTGTTCAGGATAAGACTGTTGCACCTAAACGCGCACAGGTTCAGTAATGATTATGGGCCAGATGTTGACTTGCTTGTAATGCTAACTACAGGAACTAGTAATAATAATAATGTTAATAATAATACTACTACTTCAAATGAAACGTTTCGTCCCTATTTGGCACAGTTAAGATAGCTACCGGTAATTCTTTGTTTTTATATGCGCAATACGAAGTTGCGGCATTAATATAGGCTGCCCTGGGGATAGGGTTGATAAACCTGTCTCGCTTATGGTGTGTTGGTCTGTTTGTTTGTTGGCTGATGTTGCATTCTTGATGCTTCTTCACCGCAGTTGGACTAAACCAACTTACAATTAAACTAGGTCTCTTTAAACTGGATAAATTTCATTCTAATTTATTTGGTTTGTTCTGCCTATCTGAATAATCTTCTATTAACCTACCACATTGCTTACGCTAATTGCGCTTATCTTCGGCAACTTTGTTGCGTTTGTAGCATTTTTACTAACTTGTGGACATGTTTCACTTATCACGGATTCGTCGCTAACCAACTTACTTCATAACGTCATTTAGCGAGGAGTTATGCCACCGTATCTGTATGCATTATTGGATTTATTTCATTTCATCTTGTTGTTTCAAGTGAATGCCTGTTGATTGATATCCCCTTTTTACCTGCGCTTGATGTGCACGTTGACAAGGTGCCTACCTGTCTATTACCCACTACCTCGTCCATCTGGCTCCAGGAGACAGTCGGTTGTTACTTGTGGGGACGGGGTGCACGGTCCTTGTGGTCGTGCTAAGCTCGAAGAGCGGTTCCATGCACTCCGTGTGAAACGGAGCACAGTCCAGCCACCGGCTTGTGTGCGCTTGATTCCCCAAATACAGCGTGCTTGTGTTTGCCTGTGAAGGAGTGTGGGCCGGCTCCGTTGATGAAACCTGGCTTCCATCCACATGCCTGTTGGTCTTATTCCTTCGGGTTTACACTGGATATGGGGTGTGTGTATGGAGCTGTGGGTGGTGCAGCGCAAGCCACCCATGGTCCATCTGTAGGCGCAGGCTTCCTGTGGCTGGCCACAGTGACAGGCAAATCCGAATCCGGATGCCGCCAGCCATGTTTAGTAGCACCCTTCACTGAATAAATATTTTTGCGAGTTCTTGTTAAAGGCACTACTGAGACAATACGAAATGTGTGCATTTGCCAGTCTTCGTCTTCTTGCTACGCTTTTCAAGAAAACAATGTATACTTCGCGACGGTTTGAGGGACGGTCCAACTGGATGGTACGATTCTGGATTTACAGCGAAATCAAAAGGAGCACATGTAATTTTCAAATTTTCCAGAGTAGTTCTCAAACCATTGTTGGTAGACATGTCTAATCGAGCTGTTGAATCTTTCGGGCAGATTGTGTGGTTGTCAAAAATAATAAATATAGTTAAGTCCCTGGAACCGTCCTCTGGAGACCTAACTCCATGCTGGTTATTCCCTCGATGGGTTCCATCCGCAATTCCATACAACATCTGGCCGTGTGCCGGTGTGGTTTTTGAAGCAGGTAAGCCTTCATCTACGTCTCATTTTTAGGGTTGTTTCCACGTGTATATAGTGTGGACACACAGGACTTCTAGCTGTATCATCAATCGTGTTTCAGTCCAGCACTTATCCGCTTCCATAAAACTTTCCAAATAACTCCATTTCGCGGAACCGGACAGGATGCCTTCTTAATGAATTTTTCGGTCTGGTGTGTTCACTTATTTCTCAGTTTGTGCAATGATCGGTTATACCGAAGATAATGTAGTGCGAATAGCAAAGCCTCCTAGGTTCATACCCTTAATTTCTCGTTGCCGAACTTAAACGCTGAATATCACTTCATATTGAGTGCGTCACAACTGGTGGCCAGTCACAGTAATGCAGCAAGCTTAAAAATGTAGGCTTACCAAATTTAATGGCATGGTCTGTGTGAAATACCCGGCAGGAGTCCGCTGGGAGGCGCTCCACTGACGAGACCCAGAAGGGCGAAACGTCGGCATCCGGTGCTTTTCCAGACTAGCCTAAGTCTGCTGATTGGGAGTGCCGAGGACGAATTAGCAGAAATACATAATTTCAAAAATATTTGACAGCAGAGCAAAGCGGGCACCTGTGTACTTATCATGATTGGCGGCGTCCGGTTCCTTATTTTCCCCTGTCCCTGCGACACCCATGGGGTTAGACACGGCAGTCCTCCCCCTACTCAGAGACCATGAGTGGCTTGCGCTGTGCCACTCACAGATCCATCCACACAACACATATCCAGTGTGAATCTGAAGGAATAAGATCGGGAAGCATGTGGATGACAGCCACGTTTCAGCAACCGAGCCGGTCCATTCTCCTTCAAAGCGCACAGCAGCGGGATTCATGTTTACCTAAGTTGGCAATCATGTGTGCCAAAAGTACGCAAAACAGTGGCTCGACCGTAGCCTTCTCCATACTGCATGGAAGCACGTTTTGAGCCTAGCACCGTCACCAAGACCATGCAGCCTATCTAACGACCAACCGTCACCTGCAGCCATTGGGATCGAGGGGGCGGTTTTTCTACCGACAGGCAACCTGTCAACGTTCACATCAAGTGTAGCCATACCGGGGATAGCAAACAACAAAATATGAAGGTTGGAAAGTCAACTTGAAGTTTGAAAGTAACTAATAAAGCGAAATTGACGCGAAATATGCAGCAGAGGAACAAAACTGGGTAAACCAATAGATATCAAAGTAAGATGTAGCGAACAAACTCGTTTTCAGTAGCTCATATTCTAGCTCATCTTCAGGGCTTAAACAAAAACACTAATCAAATGCGATCAATGTAACTGGGTGCTTGGTCTAAAGGTCAAATCAGGAGGTATAACGTGATCATGATTATTAGTCGGGGAGGGTTGCGGCCAGGGCAGTGAAATAGCCTGTACGAGCTACTTTTGAGCACATAGATCCGGGTTTTGGAGTCGCATAGCGGCTGTTTCTGTTTTAGTCAGTAGCCGGCATCTGAATGTTCTCGTGTAGTGTCTGGGTTTTCGGTAGACAGGTTGAAATGTCTCTTGCGTTTTGACCTGGTGACTTGTACCAATCAGATGCCATGATATAGCACTCCTTATCGTCCCCCTTCTACCACTGCTGAGACAGGCAGAGCAACATTTCCTAATTATTTTGGTGAGACGCACGGTAGTTCTCCCAAATGGAGTGGAAAATGTTTTATCCAGTTTGAGATCTAGTTCAAGTGTAATTCGGTGCAGTTCAGCTGCGGTGAAGAAGCATGGTGTACTCAACATCAACTTCAGCACGAACCAAAAAAGTGCATTTGCCATGACATCTACGTTATTCACATGTAAGCCCATCCAGAACCGTAGCAAGACGGCGGCCCGCCTCGGGCGGCCTGAGACAGATGGCAGCATTTTTAGCACAGATGACGGTACGATAGCAAGTGTAAACGTAAAATTTCCCGCTAAGCCGATAGTTGAATAATTCAATATCGCATAAACAAAATCACACTTGCGCCATCTGTCACACCTGCCTGTCGTCTGTTCCCTATCGTCTCTACGCACAAGTGCCCCATTACACATACCCCCGATATCACACGGGTAACGCACGCGTCTGAGTAGAAATCATTCCATCGGCAACGGAGAAGCAAGTCGTTCCTGAGGAGCAAAACACGTAAACGTACGTCCTTGAGGAACTTAGCATGGAGATCTCACAATTGCTCCCCGAATTCCGAAACCTGGATTGCCCATGTGGCAAAGCGTAAATTCTGTGTGAGCTTGACGCGTAAGGAAAAAGTGACGCGTCAGCAGGAGTTGATGAAGAGATACTACACGAACCGTAAACTCTTATGGTTAGCGGCATCCGGTTGCAGATTTGCCTGGCATTGCGGCCTCCAGAGAGACAGCCACAGGACGCCTGAGCCTACAAGGGGACCATGGGTGGCTGGCGCTGTACCACCCACAGCTCCAACACACACCTCATGTCTAGTGTAAACCCGACGGAATAAGACCGGGAGGCATGCGGATGGGAGCCACGTTTCATCAACGGAGCCGGCCCACACTCCTCCACAGGCAAACACGACCACGCTGTATTTGGGAATCAAGCGCACACGTGGCGGTGGCTGGACCGTAGTCCGCTCCACACTGACTGCATGGAACCACTCTTCGAGATTAGCACGGCCACAAGAACCGTGCACCTCGTCCCCTCCAGCAACGACCAACGGTCTCCTGCAGCCAATATTGAGCAGGTAGTGGGTAAGAGAAAGGTAAGCACCTTGTCAACATTCACATCAAGCGCAGCCACACCGAGGATGTCAAAAAACAGCGAATCACTTGAAAGAACATTAGTAACTAAGATATAGCTGTTAAAGCATACGGCTATGTCGACGTAACTCTTCACTAAATTAGCATATGGAGTAAGTTGGTGAGCAACGAATCCGAGACAAGTACAAAAGGTCCACAAGTTATTCAAAAAATGCTACGAACGCAATAAACTTAAGGAAGATTACCACAATTAGCCTAGGCAACGTGTGCAAGTTAATAGCAGATTATTCAGGTAGGCAGAACAAAAAAGCATGTTAATGATCTTCGTAAGGTGCAACGCGAAATTCCAGAACTGATCACAACCGACGGGTGCACCTGATCAGCAACGGAAAAAGCCGACCGCTTACGGTGCCATTACTCACAAAAGTTCCAGAGAGCAATGGACCCAACGATTATCCCTGTTTCTATTGTCCAATCCTCAGCTTTACCCATATCACTTGTTCCGCAGAAGCTGTGTCTAAGAAACTGTGGTCCTTGCGTATCAACAGCTCTCCTAGTGTTGATAACATTCGAATGAATGCTTTACAGGCAGCAGCCAGTGATCTGGCGGAACCTCTGGCTATATTCTATCAGCGCTGTGTGCAGGAGAACCATAAGCCAATAATATGGAAGCGAGGGGTCATTACTCCTATTCATAAGCGAAGTAGTCCCACTG